GGTAGAAAAACAAGACTTTAGCGTATGATAAAACGTTTATTTTCAAAATAGTGTCTATGAAATTACAAGTTATTATGGGTACAGTTTAATGTTATGTCCTTATCAAACTGCCGTGTTTAATACCAACTAATCATCATTTCACACAAAATTACAAACTTAAATTATTTTCCCCATTAAATAAATCGTCGCTGTCCGTTGCCAAACATTATTACATGTACGATTTACGATCATCTGAATTCCGATGAAATATACTATTTTATTAACAAAGCAGATAAATTTTGTTTTAGAATTCAAGGCATCAATCTCCGGAAGTATCAGCCGAGTGTAAAAATACCGCGTGAAAGAAGATATGACTAGAAAAGGAGTGAGCAGTGATATGCCAAATGATAGAGAAGAATAGAAAAGAAAACTCATTGCTCCAACCCCAAATAATTTTGGGAAAATGGTATTGCATTAGTTTTGGACATAGACTATTTACCGTATTAGAGTACCCGTAGAGCCTCCAAATATTTTTTGGTAACTGGTGATACTACGGCTAAAAGGCTACGGCGAAGGTACGGTTACAACTAACTTTAATAGTCTATTCTAGCATTCTAATTCTGATCTAGTTTTATCCGCTTGCAACGGGCTATTCATCCTGTGGGTGTCGTAAGAGCCGACTAAGGGAGCAAACTACGCAACAAAACATCACGGCAAAAAGAAGTAAAACTCGACACAAACCATAAACCAACCCATCTGGCCAGCATGGAATAGTAGGTCAAAACCTCTAAAAAGAGGCCTATATCCAGTAATGGACTAATAAAGGCAGATGAGATGATGTGGTATATGTAGATAGGTATTTAATATATTGAAAGTAAAGGTAAGCTGTAAGCACGCAGTTTTCCACTTGACTGCACTATTTAGACACGAATGTGATTAACATCTAAAGTAACAGACTGTAACAGTTATTAGAACCGGAACCATGCAAATGAAACTTTGTACCATTTGTTATATAATGATGTCATTTAACATACTGCTCTAAATATGTTGAAACATAAAGAGGCGGGCGAGTTCGGAAGGAGAGTTTCTAATAAAGTTGGTGTCGGAATATGAAAGATATCAAAAACCAGTTTTGCACGACTTTTCAACACCTATTTGTATTTCATGAGAAAGTAAGTATTTAACCTATAACCGCAACCAACAAACAAACATAAGGATTGACTAAATAACTTTAAACAGACACATTTATCTCCTTCAACCCTGTTCGCCATGTATGCATACATTCATACATACATACACTCAAGTTTTTGTCCTTCAAGAGGCTGACAGAGAGGTATTAAACTATGATTTTGCCATGTATAGTGTTAAGGTCTCGGTGTTGGTGGACAAATAACTGACTGTATTTTGCGCTGGTAGTACGACATTACAATGTCGATAAATAAGTACGTCGTACAGAGCAGTGATCCCGATCGAGTATATAAGACGAGCCGATGCGATGGCGATGTAATGGCAATCGTGGTAGGAGTCGTTACGCCCGCGCCCCCGCTTCTTCTTGCCTCCCCGTCACCTGAGCCGCACGCCGTTCGCTAGCGGTTCAGCCGGTTGAAAACACCCACCCATCGCGATGTCAGTTCGAGGATCTAGGTTTGATTCTAGGCATAATATTGTAAATTTACAATATACAATTCTGACTGCACGGATGGCGTAGTGGTTTAAGCGGTCACCACGCGCGCCGCGACACAGGATATATTCCTAATGCGGGAGTTGTCTTTTAAACAAAAAAAAACTAAATATACTGAATTTATTAACCTACTATATCAGTGATCTAGTGAACCGCACTATAGTTTACTAGATATAGTGAGTGATATCATTCATATCAGTAACAAAAATAGATAAAGTCTTACTAGCGTTCTTGATGATCTTTATAATAGCTATAGAGACATTTTAATGTATAACTAAGTACGTACAAGTTTTCAATAAATATAAATTCTATTATTTATTCTTCTATTATAATAATAACTTCATGCATCTCACACAAGGCTGTCTGACCTCAAACTAGGCAGAGCAAACTAGACAGATTGCTGATAAACATATTTAAATATTTCTAAATACATACATATTATGGCTAAGACACAAAACGAATGATCGTGCTCATCACACAATATTTCTCCTGGGTGGGAACTGAACCCACGATCTCCGGCTTAACAGTCAGGGTCTCTAACAAAGCGACAATCAATATTTTAAATCTAATTTTGAAAATCATTATAAAACTTCTAAGTCAAAAAATAATGCCGTGGATTATCGTTTCCCCGCTATGATGCAAACCAACTTTATCTCACCATTCGTAAATCTGTTGGGACTAACTATTCGCCGGTATACAAGTCGACTATAATAGTTATATACTACCAGTGAACCGCAACTTCCTGCAGTGCGGAGATACCCACTTTCTAGTTGAAGCTGGAGTTAAATATTTGCATAGCTTGCTACTTTATATTCCACATCTTATCATGACTATATTACATATTATATCCAGTCTGAATACTAGGGAGATTAAAATTTATAACTGTAACTACTTGTATACAATAGCCATTCAGATGACAAACTGCCATAAATGTTGGATATTTATTATCTGTAATTTTTAATAAAGTATTTCTAAGTACTAAGTACTTCAAGAGTGGGATTAAACTGATAAAACAGAAGATAAAAATAAAAGGTGATTATAACATTTGGTTTAACACTGGTCAGTTAATGGCCCTCTCCAATCATAGGACTAGAATTCGCGTAAGTAGCCTTGCGTCTTCGAGTTACTGTCGTTTCAGACCTTTTTTCTTATCCCAGACTCATTGTATCCCTGATTCCCTGGTCTCTATCGTTTTCCTTGCGATATTTACATTTATCTTTTATCTCCTTTGAAACGATTACAATTCCTTATAAGTTATAAAAATAATATACCTCACACATCCCACACACGGCCGCCAAATAATCCCAAACTAGGTAGAGCCTGTGCTATGGGTAACCAGACTGTTGATAAACATACTTTTATATTTTTAAATACATACATATTATAGATAAATTACACCCAGACACAGAACACATGACCGTGCTCGTCACATAATATTTGTCTTGGGTAGGAATCGAACCACGACCTCCGCTTAGCAGTCAGGGTCACTAACCATTAGACCAACAGGCCCGTCAAGTTGGTGTCAGGCAAGCATACATGCAAGCATGCAACTAGCCAAACTCTTTTACAATTGTGTTGACTCCAAATGAAATGGTTCTTCCATTCCAAGAAGAGCAAGGGCAAGAAGATGATGATGAAATGGTTTACAGATGCCGGGAAGATGATGAGATAATATGATATCTAGTTTTGTGTCTTAGGTTTCGATTAAGTTCAATGTCATGGACCCAGGAGTATGCTACTGGAGTAGTAAATTGAATTCTGTCTGCGATACAAATCTCAAGTCCAATATAGTAGGTCAGTTTCCCCTCAGGTGATCGCAATGATTAAAACTGCTCGGTGTATACACAACTCTCCTATTCGTAGCCAAGCCAGGAAGTATGCCTTAGATGTTTAAATTTATAATTAATTCCAATAAGTACTCATGTTATTATGGAATGAAGAGATAGTAGTTCATAGAAAGGTTGAACGAGGAAAAAATCTAAACTTTACTATAACCACATTTATTAAAGAAACTTACAAAATACCTTAATAGCTACGACACTATTTTACAACATATTAATATCACAGATTGATATAACTACTGATACATAATTAAATACAAGTTGTCAGGTGTCGGACCTTGGAAAGGTTACATTTAATAATGCCCTTTCCAAAGTCCATGGATGGAGCTCTGAAAGTGGAATCCAATAAGTAAATCGAAGTAAGTTACCAATCGGTTGTTTTGGTAGTATCTAACACTCAAGCTTGAAGAAATTAGTTTTACTCAATTCTTTAAATAATTATATAAATATTTTGAATAGTACATTATATTTATTCATTGCCTTACACTTGAAGCAATGCAAGTATAAGTATTTGAACTGAAGTTAGTTTCCACTGGTTCCAGGCAAGATCAGACACACATTTATTTATTTATATTTTCTTAAACTAGAATTAATTCCTTAAAGTAGATATCAAAGAAGAAACTCAACAACCTAGATACTTTAACTAAAACTTCTATATACTTCAATAACTATGTTAAGGTCCAGAAGAAGAAATTTGGCCCATAATTACGTCATTTAGAATTATTAGTATGATTTTAATTTCTTTTTACGTTATAAATTTCAAATTACAAATCGAACATGGTAAATCATATCGTCAAGGCTAGTAGGTATTAAAACTAAACCAACACAAATCCTTGTTAAAATTAAGTATCCGACCAAATCCCACGCATTTGTTGATATTACACAATAATGAATTAAACATTAGGTTAGTTCACCTTCATTGACCATTGATAGAACGGCCATGTCAATATTTAGACAATGATAACGACATAAATATATCGAGAATAAATCTAATACATGTATATTTATTCTTTTAGACTTCTTAATTTTCTGTTATACTTGTAATGCAATACCTGTATCTTTGTCATTTCGAAATCATTTTTTCTTATTCAGCTGTAACTTAAACAATTTAAACGTAAAGTTTCAAAGCCAGATCTGTATTTAACTTTTAAAACTTAAATCAAGTACAGTTATTTAATACTACTATAAGAAAAGTACATACCTACCGGTTATGCAGATTAAAACATAGATAATCGAAATGTGACTCACCTATCAGGATTCATATGTAACATGTGTGACTAGTTAAATCACAAATCATATAAATAAAACCAATGACTACTCTCACTAGCTTATAAATAATTATCAAATTATTGTACCATACAATACAAACCGAAGAATACACCACTAAAATTAGTACCTTGACACTATATTCATTTGGTATTAGGAAGTGTGGCAGCACTGAACGAAGCCTGCAAAGGCAGCAAATCCCAAAATTTTTCTTAAATAATATGTGGAACACTTCAACATTCGTCATGTTCAAGCAGCGCTGGTAACTTCAAGCACTGTTTTCTGTGCTTACGTCTCCTGTGAACCATTCTGCACGCCTTTTTTAATTCTGTATTACTGCATTCCTTATCCTCCGGCACAGGCGAAAGATTTCTTTTTGGGCGACGAGGCAAAATGCACTCGGTGGCGAAACTATTCACCTCTTTACACCTCAGCATGTCAACGTCCGGATAATCAGACGATAGCGTTGGAAAAGCGAGTTTCACAAGCATTGTAAGATACGTTTTACACACGCGTTCAGCACGAAAGCAAGTTTATGACTGAGCGAACATCGTGGCAAGTGATAGTCTACTAATGTTATTCTTAGTTTGGCCTGCATTAATGGCTTTGTTGATAGAACATCGTAAATAAGGAACGGTGCCAAATTAACCATTATGTTTCAATTGTGCGTAATTTCTAAATTGCGTTTGTATTATTTTGACTATAACACTGACCTACCTTGATTATTTATTAGCAATAATATTATCTTCATTACACAACTCTTTAATCTGTTTTATCATTTATTTATATTTTACTTGGTAATTATATAAAACATCGAAGAAATCTGTTAGTGACTCTAGCCCATTGTAACTTTTTTACATTTCGTAACATCAAAAGTAATTCACACTTTCAATGGCTTCGAACCATAAGTGTGAAACTGTGAGGTCTTATAAGTTGGTGATTAATGTACTCGTAAAATGTAAAAAAGCCATAGATTTCATTTTTTATGAATTAATCCTCATCCTTGGTAGTTGATAACTCAAATATTTTCGTACATAGGTATACGTAATAACTGGACCACTTTTTTAAATGTAACTTTTTTGTAAAGGGGATAAATGCCAAAATCACGCCTCGGCTCTTTAAAGGTGTTTATCCCAAACACGAACAAATTCTTCGTCTAATTTGGGCGTATAACCTCAATATGGACGAGGAAACGGTTGACGAAATAGACGTATACTTATATTATACTGATTCTAATCCTGTACATTGATAGTCGGGGTGGCAGAGGTTCATTTCGGTTCTGGATGGATTTTAGCTTTTTTTTTTATTGCAAAATAACTTTGAAACCGGTTTTTTACAGATATCTCGGTAATAATGCATTGTGGCGAAAAAAGGGAAATGCAAAAATTGTTCAACTGTAGATTTTACGTAGGTATTAAGTATTTTTAAGATTTGGATTTTTTTTCTTTTCGAAAACATGCGGCATTGTTGTAAAAAGCGAAAAACAAAAAAAAGCAAATGAGGGAAGAAATTGTTTATTAATTGATGATTCTTCCTTTATTGTTGCCGATACATTTCTTTTTTTATGGTATAAGGGGGCAAACGAGCAGACGGGTCACCTGATGGTAAGCAACTACCATACTACTTTGTGGGAAATTAAATGATATATATATATATGTATATGAAGGAAATGAATTTGCGGGAAGATTGGAATCAAATGAAAAAAAAACAGTCTTGTACGTGCATTTGTTGTCGAGTAATTCATTTTGCAACTAAGAATGCAAGCAACGCCCTGGCAGGCTAAATCGGAGCGTGATGTCGATACATAAGAAGTGCAGTGCCAGACCTTATCAACGCAGCAGCGCGACCGCGCGTTTAAGACGTCGTACACACTGTCTTTAACAAAAGATTTCTCAACAAATATTCTGGCAATTGATTTCAAATTATTTTTATCGTGTATCTTGGCTCTTTTAAAAGTGAATATCAAAGTTTTAATCGTTAAGATGCAGGAGATCAGGCTCGACAAGTAAAAATGTTAAAGTATCGTATCGCGGCTTCCGTTTGGCCTACGATGGATACCTTTTTTTTAATTTATAAAATCAAATCCATTTTGTCCCACACCTCTATGTTTTAAATTGTCAAAACTACGAAATGTTTTTTTTTGTTATTAACAATAAAATTAATTGTTAAAAAAAAATTGACTTAAATTATATTGTGACCGATTAACCTCCGATTTTAATTGGTTTCATCACGAACCATTTTCGGCGACAGGATTTACAGCGAATGAGTATCTTCCCGACCTCGTTTATTCTAACATTTTTAATTGGTTATTATGTGGGCAATGTGATCTTCAGTTTTCGCCAGATTTTCTTCAATTCCATCCCGAATCGAAAAAACATGGCACCCTGGCACGCTTCATTCTTAGTCTGGTACCCCGACAATAAATGAAATATTAATATCCATAGAATATCAGGAACCTTTTGTAGGTATTATATTAAATAAAGATAGATTTACGCAGTAGTTATCTACATATCCGATACGTCCGCGAAGGAAATTTTCAAACCAATATTTCCCACGGAAGCATATTAAGGATATACGTGTGAAGTTTTTATGTAGAAGAAGTGCAGGAAACAATTATTTTAAACAATATTTACTACAAAGTTAAAAATTATGAAAAAAAAGGTCCTCACGTAAAACTATAAGGGTCCAAAATATATTTTTAATAGTCATGGTACAAAAGTCTATACAATGATAGTTCAAGGTATATTTTGGTCAAAATTACAATAAAAAATTTGAATGCAATTACGAATCAAATTTGTTCAAATAGCGAGTTTATCGCTAGTTGCAATTTCTTACCGACTACAGAATGAGCTGTATATATTTAAAATCTGAAACAATGTAATATATTAAATACAATTTGTGTTAGTATAAGAATGTTTTGTATTTACGAATTCATTGGCGTGAGAAGTTTTATTGTTCATCTTATCTTCTCTAGACGTTGCTGAACTATGTTTTCTCGTGGGTACCTGATTGTGCATGGGTATTTTAGTGAAGCTAAAAGTAAAGCCACTTGAGTCTGACACACAATTTTTTATATTTATTCAATAATAGTATAAACCCAACCCAACAGTCTTATTGACACTCAATAAAACTAAAATAACCGGCATTGTTTGGTAGAAAAAAAATCAGTCCGTGCAGTTTTGTTATCGATAAAAAGCAAATTTTGTACCATTGCATGCAGAAAGAGAACATACTTACGAGTATAATATATATAGGTAGTTTTCATGAGCTGAGTCAAAGGACTTCAAACACGCCAGACGTCTTGCAGCTTGGGGTGTTTACACTTATAAAACGAACACGAAAAAGGTCATTTTACCTTTTGCGTGGAGAGACGTCTCTTTTTGTAAATAATAGACTGAGAATACCTGTGAAGTCGGAGAGTTTTTAAACTTTTTTAAACTTATTCGAAAGCTATGTATTTTAATTTGAAATTCAGCCATTTGTTTTAGATAGTGTTTTGTTTTTGTTAAATTGTGGAAGATGTGTACTGGCCTAACACTGCTTGCATAAACACGGTTTATTTTCATCGGTTTAATCGTTTAAGATCTGGAAATAGTGAATTAAAGAATGAGCCTCGCAATTAGCCGGTAACTATAGTCGACAATGACGAATTGAAAGCGATAGTGGAAGCCGGTCCAAGTCGTGACAAATCAACATTGAAGCACTTGCGGCAAATCGGAAAGATAAAAAAGCTAGATAAGTGGGTACCACACGAACTAAGCGACCATCAACAAGACTTACCTACGCGTCCAAGTATGCATTGAACTAGTGAATCGGCATAGAAACAAGGGAATTCTGAATAGTATTGTTACCTGCAATGAAAAGTGGATCCTGTACAACAACCCTACGTTCGTTTCAGTGGGTAGACCCGGGTACAGCACCTAATCAGTGCGCTAAAAAAAAGATTACCCACAGGAAGATGATGGTGACTGTCTGGAGGACCAATATCGGACTTGTACATAATAGCTTCTTACCGAATGGCACAACAGTGTCGTCAGATGTCTATTGCCAAGAATTGAAACACAATGATGGAGAAGCTCACAATTCAACAACCACGACTGGTCAATCGCTCTTCCACAATGCTTTTCCACGACAACGCGCGAGCTCACACTTCACGACAGACCATCGCAAAGCTACAAGAGTTACAGCTGGAAGCTCTCTCCCTCACCCGTCACTCACCGTCGCTCACTGGACCTTGCCCCAACAGATTTCTACTTCTCAAAATTTATAATAGATTTTTTTAAGGTGGAAAAAATTCAACACCCAGAGACAAAACACTTTCGCTGACTTCATCGACTACATTACAGGGATAAACAAACTGAAATCGAAATGGCAAAATTGTATAGGTAATTTTGGCCAGTACTTTGATTAGCTTAAATAAAAAATTACTAAATTTCTTTTATTTTAAAATTTTCATACAAATCTCCAACTTTATAGGTATAACCGAATAACTTTGTCAATCTTTACCATCCCGTATAAACTGAAATCGTTACAAGCATGCTAAAAGATACTGCTCGAATGCTCTTAAATCTATTTGTGAAGCTAGAAGGATTGCACAAAATTCTACCGGTTTTTGATTATTGCATGCTTTAGACAAAAGAAATCTACGCCGGAGTTTCAGATACACGAGATACCGTCAAGATTACTCAATAAATATCACGTTTCTTTGTCATCTTGGTTAAAAAAGTCCCAGGAGTTTTTGCGATGTCGAAATATGTAAGTTTAAGCCATCTAACTAGTGAAATCTTGTCTTTTAATATCATTAACAGTCCAGGAAAGAGATTATTATCTTTGTAGCGCAAAACACTATGATCTTCATTCAAAATTATTGCCCAAATGACGAAAAAGTGTCGTATTGTAGGCATTAAAGCCATGTTGAAACGAGCGTCTGCGAACGAAGGTCAACAGTAAGTCTCATCATTGTTAATATAAAAACCATGGGAAGAAGTGAGGTAACTCCAATATAAGTATTTTCTAACGAATTTTGTTAATCGACTTCAAAAAGGAGGAGGTTCTATGTTCCACTGTATGTATTTGTATGTTCTTTTTTGTATGTTCACCGGTTACCCCGTCAATTTCAACATTCTTTTTTTTTTTGCCATAATTTATAGTATTATTAACTATGACCGCAGCTACGCTTTCGTCATGCATTGATGAAAGCATAGCCGCAGTCAGGGAGGGGAGGAGTTTCACAAATATGACCCGCTGTGGCCACGACAGGGGTGGAGGTCAAGAAACCATAAAATTCATGCGACGTAATTTATGAGTGACCCCAAAGTATGTGCAAAATTTCATGATGATCGCTTTAATATTTTTTGGCTCTTATTTTATTGTTTGATAGGAGGTATTAATATTTAACTCTTTTACCAGTTTTCTCTTTATGAGACTGGAACCTGACTGGCGCTTCAGTATTTTGAAAGTAATAACACGCTTACATTTGCTTAAAATTTGT